ATTTCTTTCTTTAATCATCTCTGTTTTTTTCCTGTTCAAGGGTTGTGTCTGTCTAATTTTCTTTTTCATTTCTATGCGTATGTGTACAGGACATGAACCTGCATGCCTCAAGAACACGCTCCATTATACAATATTTTAAGTAGCATTTAACTTTAACATCGTGTGCATGTATTCTTACAGGAGGAGATGCAAGAGGATGAAGACAGTCCGAGTAACAGTGCAGGTATTTGTGTGCGTGCGTGTGAGCTGTTCTGGCCTCTCGTACCTTATCTGGCCCTCTCTGCATGACTGGCTGTTATTTTTCACATACATAAGCTCATCTCCTGGTGTTAGTTCTCACCTCTCTCTCTTTCTCCATCTCTCTGCCTCTCTCGCTCGCCCTCTCGCAGGCCTGGAGTGCAGCCAGGCTCCTATAGAGGAGGATCAGATGGTGGAGGAGCGGCGTGGTGTGTGTGTGGCGGAGGTGCGGGCCGGAGGGCTGGCCTGCTCCCTGTGCAAGCAACTGTTTAGCAGCCTGCTCCAGCTGAGGCAGCACGAGTACGGCCACACGCTTTCGCTCATGGCCCTGTCTCTGGACTGCTTGGAGCCGCAGCGCCCCCTAATGGCCCCTTCGTCCTCTTTCGAGCCACCTCCGCCACCACCGCGCTACCACTGCCCGCGTTGTCCGGCCAGCTTCACGCTGAAGTCCAATGCTGACCGGCATGAGAAGACCATCCACTTCAAGCGCAAGCTGATGCGCTGTCCGTACTGCCTCAAGCACTTCCGCGACCGCACCGACCTCAATCGCCACCTGTCATCCGTGCACTCTAGTGAGCGTGTCTACAACTGTCCGGCTTGTGCCCGCGCCTTCAGCACACAGAAGAACCTGGCCACCCACGCCAAGGTCTGCTGCCAGGCAGGAACTGCCCACATCGAGCCACTCTGGAACTCCCACACCCTCAAGGAAGATGCCCAGACTGACCTCAGGCACAGCCATAATGGAGATTGATTGCTGGCTCTTTGGTCTACAATAGGGGACCAGATCCAGTCCTGAAAGGCCTTCTGGTGTGTTTGGATGGTCCTCATAAACTCGGAAAACTCAGTTACAATTCGAACAAATGACTGAGTCGTAAATGCTAGACAAGTTCGATGCTACACAGTAGACCAAGCTGTCATTAGTCCACTCCATCTGATAGTTTGGTCACTTGATAAATTTAACAGTTTTAACTGAACACAAACTGTTAGTTACTATTTGGTGACATGACCATTTTCCAAGTTGACGAGGACCATCCAAGTGCACCATCAGTCCAGTGCTTTATGGTGGTTTGCCTGCTCAGTCACACCTGATTCAATTTAGATACCAGGTTTTATAGGTGTGTTTGGCTGTGCTTGACTATGGCCAGGACAGGAATTTGAGCCCCCAGGTCTGCTCCCTAGTTGCCTAAACTCTTAGTTTGCCCTGCAAGTTATTATGAAGGTGCTAGAGAATCTTCACCACCACCATTGCAAAATCGACTCAGGGGTCCCTTAGAGAACCGATGCCTATTTGCGGCTAGAGCACTGAGATTTGTACAAGATTTGTAATGTATTTGTACAAGATGTGTACAAGCTTTGTAGAATACATGTACAAAAATTGTGAATATTTGTGAATTAAACTCTATATTCTATATATGTGAATATTTTTATACGAATACTGGACATGTACCAACCACAATAGCTTTGGGTGTTGATAAGTGCAACTGCTACAACTGCAATGCAAAGACAAAGACGAAACATTCACCTTATCTCGCGCCCATGCACCTGTGTTTGTGCATTGATTTATTTTTATACTAGACAGTAATCAGACAAGAGAACGCAGTGATCTCAGCATAAAGGATGCCAGTCAGCCCAGTGTTTGGGTGGCTCTCTTTCTTAAACCCTTGTCCTACTCATTGTAAGAATGCAAAACAGAGCTTCTGTTCCAGTGTCCCAACAATTGTTCCCTCTTTTAGTGAGTATTTGAATAGTGCAGGTTTCTCCTGGATCTTTGCAAGTAAATTGATCTTTAAAGCATTGTTTTCTGGAAATGCTTTATGAGTAAATCATAGATTTACTCACTCAAGCACTTCCTTACTCTGAGTTTGTGATCTTCACATGACACTGTCCCCTACAGGAGGAAAATGTAATCTCCTTCCTTCCCCTACGATTGTATAATTGAGTGGAGTTGGATGATCAGGGATGAGGAGAGTTAGGGGTAGACCTTAAATCCCTCAGCCAGCAATGTCCTCGCTGTAAGCCTCTGTGTGTATATGTGTGTGAGTGCGTGTGCCTGTCTGTGTGTGTGTCTAAGCACAGCTGAATAATGTCAGTAATTGGCTCAGCTTGGTCCTCACCCCAGCTCACCCTCGACCTCTGAGATAAAGAGGATGTGGGAGGAGAGCAGTAGAGTCATTAAGGTCACAGGTGCCCTAGTGACCTCCACAAACCTCGCTGACCCTACAATACAGTTTATGTCATAGCGAAAGAAGGGGAAGGAAGGGAGAGCATGGGGCTTTTAGGAGAAATGGTGGCCCACTGGTGATACAGTTAGGGTTAATTACATCCACATTTTTGCATGCGTGCTGGTCTTTCCTAAAGGAGGGCTGCTGTGGAGCAAATATGTTATTGAACCTTTGCACTTGTTTAACTGTCATCCATTCTCACACCCTTGAATGATTTAATAATATCAGTGTTTTGTTATTTTAAGTGGATAAAAATAAGTATATAAACCAATCAGGTGCATTGTTTTACCACACATCTAGCTTTGTGTCTTTGAGTGGTTGGACCATAAACGTGTGAGCACTCTTTTTTGTTGACCAGTAAACTGTCACCTCTAGAGAGGATTTTTGTGTCCTGCAAATCCTTATCATTTACCTTTAAAAACATTTCATGATTTTCACTCACATAAGTTCTGCAAAGTCTCTTCAAACCGAAGCAGCTCCAGTGTGAAAATGGGAGAGAATCCCATATTTAGAGCTACCTCTTTTTCTAGAGCATTTCACAACTGGAACATTCTTAGACCACATGCGGCTGGATGTCCAGTCATTAACTCTGGATAACATTCCATGTCTTGGTAAAGCCATATTAGGAAGGACATACAGGTCTATGTGGATATGCACTGGAAAAGATTATTAATCATTAATCACAAGCCCGCTACTTAATAATCAAGCCTGGCCTTTGAATCCAAAAGCATTTGTTAGGACACTTAAAGAAAAGTATTTTGTAATTCTGTAGTCTAGGCAAATACTGTGGTCTTGGAGAAGGCAGGTCTTTTCCATATTTCTCAATGATTTGCCCACACTGTTTGGTTGTGCTGCATGTTTCTTGGGCACAAACATTGCTTCTATGATTTGTTTATCATATACAAAAGAATTGTGGTGTATTTAGAAAAAAAAATCTTCCAGATCTATGCCAGGGAACTCACTCCAGATTTTCTGAATTCACAAAAAATGGTGGAACCATGGCTGTCTGAGCTTATGAAAGTGGTGCTAGGCAGAATGTCAGATGCATTTTATGGAACTCACTATTTTAACTACTATGCAAAAAAGAAAAAAAAATATGACAACATGGAACTTGCACTTCTGTGAAAGCTCCCAAGACGTTCTCCTCAGGGAAAGAAAAGGCGGATTGGCTCTCTGTCACGTTTGTCTTTAAGCGAATGAAAACCGTGCTGATGTGAAAAACCCATTAGGGATCTTACAGTATGTGATGCAGCAATCACTGCTGTATTGTTTGCACTATCTTTTGTTAACGAAACAAAAAAGTAAGTTTTCATACTGAATGCAGATTATCGGGGATTTTTTAGCAACTGTGTAAATGGTTGTTTGTATCTTTGTAGTCAATAAATTTTCTTGTGAAGCTTCAACAAAGCCGTGCTACCGTTCTTTTTTCCTATTCAGAAATGTAATCTCTCTTTATTCACAACATTATTAACAAGTGTTGAATAAAGGCATGCTCGACGAATAGGACTGATCTGAAAAATTTTATATATATCCTCCATGTTATTGTAGAAGTGGTCGTCACATCGTCTGGTTCTGAGTCTTAACCTCATGTTCCACACATTTTCTGTCACAGAGGCCAGAGCCCTTTTAATAGCGAACAGGACCTGGCTCTGTGCTGCTTGCCTGAGCCTGCTGTCCTCATCTTCTTATTAGCCCTGCCGGTCTAGACCACTGGCCTAATGCGATTACAGACATTAGAACGGGAAAAGTACAAAGCATGCGTACACTGTTTGCTCTGTATCCTCAAAACTCCTGTGTTACTTGTGCAAAGCATCATCAAAGATCAGCCTTGCCTGAATCCAGTCTATACCAGTTACACCCTCTGTGCCAGTTACACCATTCAGCAGACAACAGGGAGATGTGCTGCTATTCTTCCATATTTATATCTTTGTTGAATTTGAGTTTTTCAACAATGTGGCCAAATGTGCCTCAGTGCTGTAGTGGTTGCTAGGGAAACTGTCCTTTAGGACTGGCGTTGGTAGCTAAGGGAAGGTGAGCTTAGCTCTGAGACCTTTCTTAATATTTTTCAGAATAGGTTGAGCATTCGGGCTAATCTAAGAGCTCTATAAGACTCAACAAAGAAAAACATTCAGCATCAAATAATTATTTATTATACATTAAGACTTGATAGAAGGACTGCTATGCTATTGCTTATAGCTCTGCTCTTATGAGTTCACCTTTCAACGGTTATGCAGTGTATAGTAAGAGCATCATCTTCTCCCTGTCCATACATGAACTAGTTGTCTAGGTGAATGCCTTTTATGTGTACACAAAACTGAACTGTAGTTTCAGAAGGCAAGGTGACTCACATTAAATAGCAATAGCCCACAGTAGTATTAACAATGATAGCTGTCAGTCATTCTTTTTATACGAACAGATAGGTAAGGTTTACCCCACTGTGAGCATATCATATGAATGCTTCCACAGCACCTCTGTTTATTATGATGATACATGTATGCTTAGGAAGCGCACATCTCTGACCATCTCTCCTCTTTCTCTCAGCAGTAAATGACTTCACGGTGATCAGGAAGAAATTCAAGTGCCCGTACTGCAGCTTCTCCGCTATGCACCAGTGCATCCTGAAGAGGCACATGCGCTCACACACAGGCGAGAGACCATACCCCTGCGAAATCTGTGGGAAGAAGTTCACCCGCCGTGAACATATGAAGAGGCACACACTGGTGAGTGCACGGTGATGCAGGTCACAGGAAAGTCAGCAGGGGGCAGCAGAGGGTAGTCGAGATGCACTGTGGGACGAGTCAGTGACAGGCCTCAAATCGTCTTTCGGAAGGTTCTCATTATAATGGGCATTTGGTATTTTCCTGTCAGCACTTGCTATGAGTACTATTTGATGGCAGGAGTCTGTCATTGCTATATTTTGCTGCTTTTGTTGTAGATTTAGACGTTTGTATTTGCAGGTTATATTCATTTGTTTTATTACATTTTGGGAAGTTGTATGATTAAATACGCACTAGAGAACAATTACTTATTGAAATGCCTGACTTTTATTTAATTGTATGACTGCTTACTGCATAGAGATAAACACCATTCTGTGAAAATCTGAAGAGTAACTAAATGTAAAAGAGAGATCAAGTCTTGATTGCTCCCTTTTTGTGATATTCTCCATTTTATTCTCTCATACTACAGTTTTCAGCTTCTCCTCTCATCTCACTGTTTCCCGTCACAGAAAGCATACACACGCTTTGACATATGTTTGTTTGAGTGTGGTTAACAGAGTATGCCACAAAAATTAGTTCTGGTTTGAGGCAGATCAAAGAGCCAGTAAAAGCGTAGTGTTGTTAACAGGCAGCATGTTAGGAGAGCAGCTAGGAAGCGGTGGTGGCTCAGCTGCTTAACATCTGCTTGACAGCGAAATGCTGACTTGATGGTCTTCTGTGCCACATACTAGCTAGCCATGTATTATGTTACAAAGACTTTATTCTATGAAGTGGCCCTCTATCTGACAAATTCCATAAATATTCACTTTTATTAAGCTGGTTTGGATTGCCTGCTTATCAGTATTGAGGTTTCTATTTATTTTCAGTTTTCAGGATGTACATTTAGGGACAACACAGTTACAAAGTACAAAAAGTCACAGAAACATTAAATTCACAATAAAGACGCATACAGTACATAACAGTGATTTCAAATGCCTTTGAAAAAATGAAAGTATACTTATCTCACTACACTTAATTTGTTACGTGAAAGTATGTGTTAATAGCCTATCCATTGTATATCTTTTGAGTGGATACATCTCAGAAGATTTTGTGTAATCTGATCTTTGATCTCTACAGCTCTCCCTGTTTCTTGGAAAGTTTGTTTATTGTTAATAATTTTGTTTATGTAGTAAGTAGTAAGTAAGAAAATTATTTAATCTGGTGTAACAGAAATGTAAAACCGCTTGACTTCTACATAGCTGTGGAAGTTGACTCTATATTTACTGATAATATACCTTTGTGGCAGGATATATAAGTATAGTGGGTAACACCTCTACCTTCTACGCTGTAGACTGGGGTTCAATCCCCCATCTGGACAAGCATCCTATACTATACCAATAACAGTCCTTGGGCAAGACTCCTAACACTACCTTCTCCTACCTATGTAAAAACTAATCAAATTGTAAGTCGCTCTGGATAAGGGCGTCTGCCAAATGCCGTAAATGTAAATATATAAGGAAAATAAAAGTGGCCCAATAATATACCCTTGCGGTACACCCCAGCAAACATGCTTTTCAGATGCAAGTTTGCTATAGGTAACAAAACATTACCTAGTTAATTATGTTAAAAACCACTCCAGAACATTTCCAGACAGTCTAATCCAGTTTTCAAGTCAAAGGATTTTAAGACTAAGGTTCTAAGGGACAAGAATTTTCTCATCAGTAATCAGTCAGATCACAGAAGCTGATTCTGTATTTTATTCTGAAGCTTAACTGAAATTCTCATTGATGTTATTATTGAGGAGAATAATCATTATATTGTTTAAATACTACTTCCTCTATGATGTTACATAACAGGGACTTATTAGATATAGGTCTGCATTTACTCACCAAAGAGTTGCCCAGATTGCGTTTCTTGAGTAGTCTAGCCATGGCAAATTGAACAAAGGAGCAGAAAAGCTACCTTATATCTTTTGCTGCCTCATTTCTCTCTATCTCATTTCTGTATCTGTCTCTCTCTCAGGTGCACAGCAAGGACAAGAAGTACGTGTGTAAGGTATGCAGTCGCGTCTTCATGTCGGCTGCCAGTGTGGGTATCAAGCATGGCTCCCGGCGCCACGGTGTATGTGCGGACTGCTCAGGCCGGGGCATGGCCGCCCTGCTGGACCAGAACGGCGAGGACGCCTCCCCGGAGGAGGAGCTCCTCTACCCCGGCGACCACCGCTTCCCTGGAGACCACCGCTTCCCCGATGATGGTGCGGACGGCGAGGAAGAGATGATGGCGGAGGCAGAGCTGATGGGAGAAGGGGAAGAGGAGAGCAGTAAGTGGCCGGCAGACTCAGGGATGTCGCAGCGCGACGATGGAGCCACGGACGATGGCAAAGAGGAGAGCGATTCGGCCCAGGAAGGCGAGGCGCGGGGCGGCAGCGAGAAAGACTTTGCGTGGATCTCTTAGTTCAAAGCCAGAAGGCAAGGTCCAATCCTGAAGCGCCTGTTTCCCCTTCTGATGGGGTGTGTGCTCGATCTGAAGCGCCATAGTCAGATCGCTGTGTGTGGAGGGAGCCGCACACGCACACATACACACACAATCACAACCACACAGATCCTAGAGATGCAGGCAGGGCTGTCAGAGAAGAGTGGGCAGTCTTCTCTTCATGACCCTGTGTCTGTCCGGCCTTTGCTTCGTCTCCTTCTTTCTTCCCTCGCAAGGACCAGATGGGTTTGAGCGTTGGTGTTTTATATATATATATATTTTTTCCTGACCAGAGAGATTCAAAGTGTCTTAGAGTCGCTGTTAATCAGTAGAATACGCTGACGGGTCAGAGAAAGGAAGCATACGACCAGTGTGGTCTTGCCATGCAGTCACCAGCGGGTGCTGTCTTATCTATTGCAAAGCTGTATATGTCAAAGGACTTTCAGCAGTTTTTTAGCACATTGTTTTCTGCAAAGAAAAACTGCCACAGACTTGCACTTTAACAAACATTTACTAGATTCCTATCAATTCCTTGTTTCTGTGGTTTACATTTTTATTCCAATTTACATAGACAAATATGGTGACCGCACCTACCTTTAAATATACGTGTCCTCATGACTGTTATATATGAATATTTGTGCAGAACTTGCTGATTATAATGTATGCCTTTTAATATTTTTCTTCCTCTGCCACTTAAGTTTTCCTAAATCATGTACACATGAATACGTACATTTGACAGTTTTGTGTTGGTCAAAGAAAGACAATGGACAGAAGAGAGAAAGAGAGAACACTATGCAGAAATGAATCTTTCTAGTTCTCAACAATCTTTCTTCTGTATTATGGAGGAGTCGCAAAAGTTACTGAGGAAGTGAGAGAGAAAGAGAGAGAGAAACTGCTAGGTTAGGGTATATATTTAGAGTAATGGGAATATTACTTTTGTCCCTCTGTAATATTTCTGTATAACTTGCATTCCATATCTCATTATCAGGGGAAAGGCTTAATTTATAAAGGGAATATCCAGTGAGAGGTGTGTATGTGTGAGAGTGCGTTGATGTGTATGCATATGTGTGAGTTGTATGCATGTTACACCCCAGAGATGGCGGCACTGTTGAAAGTGAGATGCTTAGGAAAATATGAATCCAACTAAAATCACAGAACAGTTTTACTGCTGTAGATGATTCTTATTATTGTTATTATTATTTTTCAGTCTCTCGCTTTTTCTCTCACTCTCTATTTTAGAGTACTTTGCAGTTACTTGCAGTCTTTTCTGTTGTACTAAATTCACTCTCTGCCTCTGGAATCTAGAAACCTCTGTAATTTGACAGGGAGAAACCATGCCTTCCCCAAACACACTTACGATTCTTATGTTTACATCTGGAATCAGAAACGTATGCATTGAGTTTTTTATTTAATGAACCACACCAGATGTTTGATCTTCTGTATGATCTTGCTCTTTTTCTTTTCTCTTTTTCTTTCTTTCCGCCTGTTTTCTCCTTCTCTTATTGATATAAGTTAAAAATGATGAAACGTAAAAGGTTTTGTGTTGGAAGTCCATCGAGTCTGGCGCATGCTGTAAAGTGAATTTTGTCAGTTTTTTTTGTTTGATAGGTTATTTATTAAGTCTTTTGTGCAAGATTACTAGTCTCTTTAGATATTCCCTCCCTTCTGTTTGACTCTGTCTACAAGGGCACAAACAGTGAAAACCTGAGTGTGTGTGTGTGTGTGTGTGTATGTGTATGAGAGCGAGAGAGTGAGTGAGAGAGAGGATTGTGGGATGTGTGAGATTTGTCTCTTTTCAATGTCTGTGCCGGAACATTTGAAAATGGGAATGAAATGCTTTATCACTTACTATGATTAACAAATTATAATCCTTATGATTATCATTGATATTGTTATTATTAATTATTATTATTATCATTGTTATTATTAAGTGCTGGATGCTAAGCTTTATTGTGAATTTGATTTTGCTCTTTAATTTCTTGTACGAGAGCGTGACAAACTCAGATTTGCCTTCTTTGTGGACAGTAAGCCATGTGGCTTTTTAGAACCAGTTCTGTCGTGCCAGTTCTGTGCATTTCTGTTCAATATTTCCAACTGTATTTTGATTTCAAGAGAATGGCGAACTCTGGAGAGGCTCATTGGTTAGATGTTGTCAGAAAGGGATTATACCGCACATGCTTCTATATTACTGACGTACACTAAGTAATGAATATTATACCAAAAAATAATCTAGTATACTTTGTATACGTTACATTAAGTGCTTTTGTTTCAACAGTTCGTGTGCAGGTGCGAAGCTTTGAATAGTGATTTCCTTTATCCATTTATCTTTTCTTTCACTAACTTGAGAATGCACAGATAATATTTGGTGTCATT